TGTCTATCTATCTATCTATCTGTCTGTCTGTCTATCATCTATCTATCTATCTATCTATCTATCTATCAATCTATCAATCTATCAATCTATCAATCTATCAATCGGTCGGTCGGTCGGTCGGTCGGTCGGTCGGTCTGTCGGTCGGTCTGTTTGTCTGTCTGTCTGTCTGTTGTTCTATCATTTGAATTGCAATATTGCATCCTGTTTGCAACTTAAAATTCATTTAAACTTAGAAATCTAAAGTGGAATCTACTAGTGCTGTCAACCGATTAATCGCGATTAATCGCATCCAAAATAAATCTACATGAAGTTTTCAGTTGAGTTCTCAATGGTTCACAGCCCTAATTAACCTGCTTCCTACTTCTGTTCTAGTGTTCTAGTCCTGGTATACAAGACAAATTTTCAGCACTCGTCATCTACCACAGCCTCACTGCAGTCTCAGCACATTTGTCTTCAGCACTCCCCTAAAGTTCAGGTATCATTCTACCTATCATTTTATCAATATGCATCTTCTACAGCAGAGATTATAGTGAATGTTCAGGTTGTGGCAGCTGCGCTTGAGTTTCCCACATATCTTCGTTTCCACTGAAATAAGACTACTGCGTTATGGAATTGCACAAGCATTAAGGAAGTGCCAAACTGTTCATTCCTTTTAAAGCAGGGTTCTGCTCCACAGAACTATTCATTTATTCATCATGTAATAAAGTCAGCCTCTTCTGTGAATGATTTGGCTTTAAAATTGTTCAGCAGAAAAGCAGGCCTCTGACAGCTCCTGCTCTAGTGCCGCGTGCGTTGAGCTCCGTGCCAAATCTGGGAGATAACGAGCCCCCTGATGATCATTAGCTTGAATGACTGTATAATGAGCCTGGAAAATATGCAGAGGTCAGAGAGGAAAGCCTCTATTAAAAGCATTATTAAACCACAAGGGTCAAAGTTCAGGATGGCGAGAGTCGAGGAGTTTTCCGAGGTCCGTTTGGAGGAACTCGATGGTCAACTGTCACAAGCTGTGCTCCGATTCACAGTTCCTACACAGGGCTTGCTGCTCTCTACATGCAGAGTACATACAGTGGTGTGAAAAAGTCCTGATTTCTTATTTTTTTGCATGTTTGTCACACTTTAATGTTGAAATTTTACTTTAAAATTATTTCTTACTATTTATTTTTGTATTTGTATTTCATTTTGCAGACCAATTCCCATAATGCTCAGCATCACTTGACTTCCTGCTGCACTTTAATGAATAAAAATAAATAAACGTAATACATTTTAATTTGTATTTAATATAAACATTTAATACTTTAATATAGTTAATAGAAATGTTTATTTAATATATCTAAATAAATAAATATGTACATTTTCAAATGCCTATTACATTTTAAAGTGCAACATAAACCGGATCCAAACTCCAAATGCCCACATTGAGCATTTGAAACCACATTTCAGAACATTTGCAAGTTCCTATTTGAATATGAAATAAATATTTATATTAAAATATTAAATATTTATAGTAAATAAATACACAGTTTAGTCATTCATAAATTCATATTTTTATTGATTTATATTTATCTCAAAATATTAAATATACGTTTTATATAATTTAATATAAATAAATAAAAATGTTAATTTATTCAAATATGAAATAAATATTAAAATATTAAATATTTTATAGTAAAGAAATGCACATTTTATTCATTAATAAATTCTTATTTCTTCATCTGTCTTTATTAATATTATATTTTTGCATCTTATTTGTTCTAAGATTCATTGTTTTTTCTATCTATCATTCATTCTATAGTTAATTTTCCTGTCTGTCTATCTATCTCTCTATCTATCTATCTATCTGTCTGTCTGTCTGTCTGTCTGTCGTTGTTGTTCTATAACTATATTTATTTATACTTATTCATATTTGAATATTAAATAAATATTTCTATTAAAATATTAAATATTTATAGTAAATAAATACACAGTTCAGTTATTCATATATACTTATTTTTTAATGTATTAATCTGAGCATTTTAAATATCTATTTTAAATGTATTTTTATCCCCCCCCCCATTTTATCTATTTTAAAGTTGTTCAAATATGAAATAAATATGAAAACATTACATATTTATAGTAAACATTTTAATCATATTTATCTAAATATGTATATTAAATGCATTAAATATATTCATTATTTATATAAACACATTTTTATATTACAATAATAAATATTTATTCATTCCTCTTTTATTTATGTTTGTTTGTTTGTTTGTCACAAAAATGTTTATTTAGATTTTTTTGAAATAATATTTTAGTTAGTGCAGATAGATCTTGGTGCTCATGTAGATGATCATGGTTCGATTCCAACGATTCCAGAAAGTTATTTACAATCCCATTTTCTGTCCTTTGCATATGGCCAAAAGCCAAACAAGGGAAAAAAAATGCAAGCAAGCATAGAATATGGCCTGTCAAGTCATTTATCCGTCATAAAGAAAATGGACAGGGCAGCATTACTTTTTCAATATCATTACAAGACATTTGGTGTAATGGTATTGGATTGAAATGGCATAGATTGATGGTGGGACGCCGCAAAAGGAGGAAGGAATGTTCACTTTAAATGAACTCCTATTCCAGCTAGTCCCCCATCTGCTGTCCGGTGAAGTGAGTTATTTAGCCATCGCAGGACCATCAGGGGTTCAAAGAAAATGATATCGCTCTGTTATGTACCAGCCATCTTCGGAGGGGATAAAGCATTTCAGCGCTCGATTCACATCAATTCTCCCGCTTGTTCCAAACAGGCACACACACGTTTCACAGCCAGCCAGGTTCCTCGCGGGAGCCGCGTTTCACAAGTCTCTCTAAGGTCAGGCGTTCTGCGTCTGGGATCCGTGCAACACTGCGGCGTCTCTCTCACTCTGGGATATGGCAGCAAATGCTAAATTTGGACACAGAAAGCCTTCATTCCAATAAAGCCTTGGTCTCCTGAGTCAACGGACAAAAAGATCAGGGTTTGCTGGAGGAGGTGGTAAATTATTCATGGCTTTATACGATATGCTGGGAGCAATTCTCTCCCTCTCTCTGTTGCACTCCTCTAGTCGTTCTCTCCCTCTTGCTTCTCTAGAAACTTTCCCTCCACCTGCAAGTCAAGACCTCCAGTTTCCCGTCATATGTTTGACAGGATCTGAATATTGTATCTGAATGTTTGGACCAATCAGAAGACCAGATACGAAGACATTCGTCCAGGTAAAATTTGTCAACAATTCCATCTCTTCCATTTTGAATTTTTTGTCCAAAGATGAATGTTTTAGTTGTTTTGTTTCCTATTTTTGCCCAGTCATGTAAGGTAGCTCCGCCCATAACAAAATCTCATTGGTTCAAAATCGTGCACCACTGCTGTATATTAAGCATCAAATATGTTTTGATTGGCTGTCATTTTTTCACTTTGCATTGCAGTTTCAGTTATTTATTCATTTCATATTATTTTTATTTTGGTATTTTTTTATACCAAACAATAAGCATTCAAATACAAAATAAAGTATATCAGTGTTTAATGTCTGTAAAAATGTATATTTTGCACACCAAGGCTACATTTATTTGATCAAAAATACAGTAAATATAATAGTGATATTTTGAAATATTATTACAATTGAAAATTATTTTATCTTTAAATTATTAATGTCATATAATTATAATATAATTACATTTATTTAAAATGTCATTTATTTTTCAGCATCATTACTCCAGTCTTCAGTGTCACATGATCCTTCAGAAATCATTCTAATATGTTGATTTGCTGTTCAAGAAATATTTCTTATTAATATCAATGTTAAAAACTTAAAAACTGCTTAATATTTTTGTGCAAACTGTAGTGTTTTTAGTGTACTTTTTTTTTCAGGATACTTAGATGTATAGAAAGAACAGCATTTATTTTAAATAGAATATTTTATAACATTATAAATGTTTTCATGTCATTTTTGGTCGGTTTAATGCATCCTTGCTGAGAATCAAAAGAATCAACTTCTTTCAAAAATAATAATAATAAAAAAATTTTACTGACCAGACATTAATTTTAATTCGTAATTTTTTTTTAATTTTTACACATTTTTTTGTAAATGTGCTCAAAAGGTTATAAAAATGTGCTGATTTAAAATTGTATTTATTTAAATTTTATCATTTAAAAAAAATTAAATTAATTTTAACATGATTAAAGCTCGTAAAATTAAATGATTCTCATAAAATGATTACATTCGTAAAAACAATTACAACTAAAACTAAGTGAATAAAATTGCATTTTAAACAATCACACACAAACACATAGACCTCCATAGACTTACATTAGAAAAGATCAAAAGCTTCTGAGAAAACTGTGGCCGGCAACAGTTGCCATGGTCGGCTTGGTCAGTAATGTTTTTAAAGCGGGGCTTAGCGAAGGGTCAATTTACATAAAAAGTCAATCCAGTTCAATCCATGATCAGTTTCAGCCCGAGACAAAGAATCTGAGCAAATAAACAAGCACCTTTGTTGCCTGTGCTGAACGAGGATATCTGAAGATTCTCCTGCAGGCTTTTATCTCCTGTGAAGAAACTTTCGAAAGTCACACTGATCCTGGGCTTTGATCCTGAGCTTTCTGTTCCTCTTCTCTCTTCTTCTCCACAATCCCATCTCTGTCTCTCTCTCTTTTTTTTCTCCTGTTCTCTGGTCTACTCCACAGCATCATAGACACTGTCCCCTCATTCTCTCTCTATCAGACTCCAGCTGTTGAGTCCTCAGCGAACATATTGCACAGGAACATAGAGGATCCATCACTGTCATATGTGTGTAGAGCAATGATTGAGGGACAAACACAAACACTGGAAAAATCATTGCGTAATCATTATTTTTGTCTTGTTTTCCAAACATAAACATGCTTAAAACACGATACATTTTCTTGGAAACAAAAATAAATGCTTTCATTCAGCAAGGATGCACTAAACTGATCAAAAGTGACAGTAAAAATATTTTTAATAAGATTTTGTAGATTTCTATTTGAAATAAATGCTGTTTTTTTTAACTTTCTATACATCAAAGAATCCTGAAAAAAAAAAGGTTTCCACAAAAATATTAGGCAGCTGTTTTCAACATTGATGATAATAAGAAAAATCTGCATATTATCAGTGACACCGAACACCGGAGCAATGCTGAGAATTCAGGTTTGCATCACAGGCATAAATTACATTTGAAAATATAATTACAGTACAAAACGTTTATTTTAAATTATTATAATAGATAAGTTATTTTTTAACTATTTCACGTTTTACTGTATTTTTAATCAAATAATGCAGCCTTGGTGAGCATGAGATACTCAAAATTAATTATGATAATTTAATAAGTAATAATTTATATAACTTAATTACATTACATTTTAATATATTAAATTATTGTATGCAAATAATTTAATGTATTAAAATTCATTTACATTCTTAAACACATTTTCATACAAAAATAGTGATATTTGATGCAAAAAAAACAGCTATATTCTTTGAAAACAAATTTTTCAGCTAAAAACTCATGTTTAGTGCACAAATTGACTATTTCGTGTTATGTTATACTGTTTTTTATCCTTTTTATGGATATTTTTATGGTGCTTTTGCATTATTTAAAATAAAAAGACCTCTTTTCAGAAAATATATCTTGAATTAACTTTTTTTCTTTTTTTACTCTATTAGCATTTAATATTTCTTTTATGTATTTATTTCAAAAGGAACGGTACATTAATCAACATTTAAATAAATGTAGACATACCCAAGTTAGCCAAAAGGCTCATTTTCATACAGTATGTAGTCCCTGCTGTTATTAGCCAGAAATGAAAATAGTAATAATAATAATAACAAATAATGATTATAAAATACAGGCAAAAAGCTTAAACAGTAGCACATACATTATATAATACACTGAAATAATAAAATGACAACAAATATAGTATAGTATTGACATCAGTGTCAACATGGTTGATTACGAAGAAGTATGATTGCTATAATCATACTTGAATAATAGGAAGTATATTCTGTAATTGATTGTGGTATGGAATCCCACTGATGTAACGTCTAAAGGAAAACAGCCTGACTAAATGAGTTTTTCCATCATGCTGCACCTCTCTGCTCTGCAGATTTGAAACAGATAAAGCCAACCTTCAAACATAAGCATAGATCTAATAAAATCATCTTGTTCCTTATGTTTTCAATGGGAAACAATATAAAAAATACGGATGAAGAAAATAAGGATTCCCCCATTCAATCTCTTGAAACCACTGAGATATTCCAGAGATCTCATTTGTAATTTTCCTTCCCATGGGACAGTTTGTTCCATCAGAAAACAGCTACTGTGATGGCAATGAAGAGAACAAATGTGATTGGTGCATCTTTGTCTCTCTCTCTCTCTCTCTCGGTTTCCCACACTCCACTTCCTCCCTCCACCTTGTGCCGTCCTAACACTCTCTCTCTCTCTCCCTCTCTCACTCTACCTCTCCGTCGGCTGACTGTAGGTACGCCCTCTGCTCGAGTGTGTGTCTTGTGTGTTCATGCGTGTTGGAAGCAGGTGGATCACGGATGCGTCTGCAAGCTCTTCATCAAGCGTGCGTTTTGTGATTCTGGATATAATTCCGCCCCTGTGGATACAGACACACATTAGGACGACTGTCGTTAAACATCCGGTAAGAGGTGTTTTTGCACTCTTCTTGGAGGTTTTTTCCCCTTGGTTTGCGCTTTTGGGCAGGTGCGCACTGGCTTGGCATCGAATGAAGCAGCTTTGATTTTTTTTTTGGAGCGCGTTTGCGCGAGATATCCATTAATATTTCAGACATCAAAGCGTGCGACGTCTATATTTAGTCCAGAGAAATGCTGGTGTGTTCGGATAGCAGCCAGTTTCTCTGCCTCCTCTGTTTCCACGGGACAGGCGGATCATTTAAAGAGCGGGAAGGGAGGGGCATTGTGGGTACAGCCGACACATCTAAAGAAGCAAACGGGAGAGAGAGAGAGAGAGAGAGACAGGTAGAGAATGCTCTGAGAGACTGTAAGGAACATCAATATTTATTAGATTCGGTCACTTCAGCCTTAATTTCTCTCGGTGCGCTTGGAAACTAATAAGAGAGAAATGTGATTAGGCGTCATGGGCGGAATAGCAGTTTCCACTTCTCTTCCCTCCAGATATGAAGCTAAAAAAGGTCCTGAGGGAATGAAAGAAACGTTAATGTGTGGCAGAAGCACTTTGGGGATATTTTAGCTGGCCTTTGTATATTAATGAGCCTTGTTTATCCCTTGTTCAGTAGGTATAAGATGCATCACTATGACGTTTCATAGCATATCGTATTTTAGATGAGGATATAGCTACTGGCCACATGTCTTCTTTTGATTAAACAATGACCGATTACTGTGGCCAGTGTCATGTGATCAGAAACAGGAGCATTTCCTGTCCTCGTAGATACTCTGTCTAATCACGTCTGCTGCTGGGAAGTTACTTCATTTATGAAATATTACCTGAGTGAAATCTTGATACGTCCGGATTCCCAGAGTTCTTTGGGACTGTATTAGTGATTGATCAGGCTGGAGGTAAGACCGATTGGGACATGCCCTCGTTTCCTGCTTTTGTTGTGAGCTCAGCAGAGTTTTTTGGTGCTGGAGTTTGATGACTTTGGGGGCGGTTACGCTAGTTGGTGCTAATGGTGCTGCAAAGACTCATTATGCACTAAAGCATCTGTTCATCGATTCATTCGGCTATTTTTGTTTTTATTTACCACATCAGGTTCTGCATGGAGCAACCTTAACATGAGTCTGAGTGGCAAATTCACAGTATTATTTCAACGTTCACCAATCACCAACAATGCAGTAAACGGGTTTTAAATGCATTAATTTTTATTTGTTAAATATAATTTGCAATGTTATGCTTTTAATACTTTAAGATTTAATTTGTATTATTTAGCAATTTCTTATTTTCAGATTTCTTTTTTTGGATGCTTTTTTATGTTCGTAATTGGACTACTTATTTAGATATTTTTTATTTAATCATTTACTTTGATATTGATTTTAATTTAAATTTTTATAAATGAACATTTTTGGGATTTTATGCTTGTAATTTGCCTACTTGTGTTTAATTTTAGTTTACTTTTTTAATATACTGTATTTACAAACAGTAACATAATTCATGTATTTTTATAACTTTTTTTATAAAGTAAATTTTCAGTTTATTTTTAAATTTTATTTTAAATTTTCTACTTATTTTGCTTAATTTAATTATTTACTCTTTTAATATTTAATGTTTTATTTTATTTATTTTTTAAACAGTTTTAAAGTATTTTTATTTGAATACTTTTTTATTTTAATTATTTCAATTTAATTAATTTAACAATTGTAATTAAACTAAGTTATTTTAATTATTGAATCATTCTTGTCATGGCATCAGTAATGATGGTGAAGAGCGTTATAACGCATATTCAATCGAGCTCACTTTCAGAATTTTAAAATGCCGTATCAGGTAATTGGATTACAGTGGTGGAGCGATATTTTCCACTAGTTTGGGAATTGTTGCGTACAAATTGAATTCAGCAGTAATTTGGTGATTTGCATAATTCCTCTTGACTGTCTTTGCCTGTATCTTTGGTTAAAAGCTTTTTTCTGTTGGAACCGCATCCTAGTGGCAGGACCATAGCCACCATACACTACATCTCTCTCAGCTATTGGTCAATTTTCAGCTCCAACACAATGAGCCTTGGCGCGCATATGGCCAACAGGGGTTTGAATCGATCTATTGCCATTTCCTGATCCCATTTCTCTACTTTTCTACCTAAAAAGTGTCAAGAAATGAGTATTGTGTGAATTTCGTAGCCATGAAAATTCATAGTCCTGCTCTCATATGTTCTCATTGTCCATTTTACGCACATTCGCTAAAGATGGATGAGGTTTTCATTTACCCAGAGGATGTGTTGACACAGAAGGCCTTGCTCTTGATGAACTGAAGAAGCTCCAGGTGGACATCAGCACTCCACAGAAAGCATGCCTCGCAGCCTCTGGCAGCTTCATAGAGGAAGACTAATCTTTCTTTTGGCAAAGAAAGGTGGCTTCCCAGGGGAACATGAAGTGGATTTTTCCAGGGTCTCATTGTTGAAGATGGTTAAGGTACTTCCCAGCCAACAATGCCTCACACGTGACTTTCCTCCTGTAGGGCTTTGGTTCGGAAGCCTGTTTGGAATCCACCGGTCGTCTATAAAAGTGTCTACAGAGGAGCCTGTGATGTTTGACGCACATCAAGCTTCAGGCCATCACTCTCAGCTCTGCCTCCAACCCGACATGAAGATCAGGATAGATTATCACGTACCAAAGAGCAAAAGAGACAGACAGAGCGACGCGGAGAGAGCGTGACCTTATATTCCCAGATCCATCTGTGTCATGTTCAATGTTCTGTGCTCTCCTCACAGCACATCTGATTGTTCTGGATGGTGTTGCTTTGGGTTGATAACCGTCAAACCCCTGACAGATAGAATCCATCTCTCGTACATCTGTTCTTTTAACACGTTTAATGAAAAAGGAAAAGTCTGTTCGCCGCCTTTTATCAAAGACAAATTGCTCTCATCCGAGCGTTTCCTGATCAGAATTCCGTGCCAGACTCTGACATTTAATTTGCAGCTAAATTGGGGTGAGAACAGTGTGTGTGATTCTCTGATCCAGAAGCGTACGAACAGAGCACTGCTGTTATTCATGCCGGAGAGGACAATGACAGCAGTCAGTCACAATAAAAGCTTTTAAAGGAGACAGAGGACATTGTGTGGAGTCGAAAAAGGTTTTATGGAGTTCAGTAAGGATGAGTCATTAAATTATGGACTCTAAAAGCATTTTCTTAATCAGTATCTCCAGCTTGCTTTCTAGTCAAATATCCTTCAAATAAGAATCAGTTATATAAGAAATAACATATTAAAGGAAAAGTTGAAATAAAAAATATTTTTTATTATTTTATTTTATTATATAATTTTATGTGTTAACTGTGGAACACCTATAGAGAAGTGAATGCAAATGTAGACTGCCGCTTTTGAGCTTCAAAAAGGATGCAGAAGTACCATACAATTATTATAAAAGAGATCAATTTGACTTGTGCAATAAAATAATTCATTTTGGGTGAACTGTTCTTTTAAGTCTCAACTGTAGCCAATATATCTTTGTTTTTTCTCTTTTTAAGATTAAACCTCTCTAAGTTTTGCTAGATTGATGCTTGAAAAAAATAGTAAATGTATCTTCGGATTTTACAAGTAATGAATTAATGCAGTTGATTAACATATAAAATATCAATATTAATATATGAATTAAATATTAAATGTCTTGTATTATTCATTACATTATTAATTAAATGAATAAATTTAACAAATTAAATATGAATATTATAAAAAAATAAGTACTTAATGAGTATGTTTGCCTTGTTTTTCAGTAAAAAACAAACAAATAAATTATATACAGTATTTATTATATAATAATTAATTATTTGTTTGTTTGTTTTTTTTACTGAAAATCCAGGCAAAAATACTCATTAAGTACTTATTAGGAAAATTATTTTTCAATTTTTAGCATTATGACGCAAACACCCACATAAAGTACCTTAATGATTGACGTCTTTTCTGAAACGAAAGTAATTTGATTCGTCGTAATTGCCTCACAATTATATTTCACTACTAATGCATAATATTCAAACTAATGCACTCATGAAAATCATATAAACATGACAATCTATGAACACAATCTTGTCATCTCTTCTTCTCTCTCTCTCTCTCACACACTTTTTGAACTGTATTATTTTAATTACCTTGGTGATTAAAAAAATTTCCCCGCTCCATTTTCTCTGTCTGAATTAATATGGGATTTCGGTTTAATGAGAGAGAGAAAGAAACAGACAAATTTAACATAATCAGTCATTTAATGACTACTCAAAGAAACAAATGTGTAAACAAATAAATGAGGGACTGATTCTCAAAGCAATGGGAGTAGTTAAAGTCAACATGACATCAAAATTGACCCTATTTACTTTATGTTGTTATCTTTTATTAAAATCTAATAAATTGCATTGCCATCTGAATTGATTGATTCGGCCTCATTCCTTGTCAATTTTCACCATCCAGTAAATTCTCATTAGATAAAATCAAGCTCCAACCAACATTCCCATTAAATATCACTCATAAACAAAGTATGACACAAGTAAAATCATGTTTATTTTAATGCTGTTTCTATCCTGACGTCATGTTCAGCTCTTCTTTTGTTTTTCACGTATTTTTGTTTTCCGGCTGGTGTTTTGCATGAAGCTCTACAGAAGCGAGCGTATCCTTGGGTGAGCGCACCTTTGAAATCTCTGCTGTCAGAGCTGATTGCTTTTGAAGTGCTTTGGTAATGAAATGGTTGTGGAGTTTCTGGTAGGAATAAGAAATGCTGTCGCACGTCTTCCTGTCTCACCTCCAGCCCCCTGCAATCAGAAAGAGGTGATTGAATTCAGCTCATTAACAGCCTGAGCAAAGACAGACGCTGTTCCAGATCCTAGTGAGCCGCTTGTATAGATGGGTTTTTTAGACATGGCAGACTCGCTCTTGACATGAAGGCTGTTATCCTGTTTTATGAAATGCCTCGTTTTGATTGAGTTGCATGAGCTTTGGGGCAGTAATGCTAGTCGTGCCGATTCATTTTG